TGTAATTAGTAAAAGTACTTTTGATTTCCAATACATGGAATCTCTTGGTCTTTCTTTCCTAATTATATAATGGAGAGATGCTGACAAACGGGCTCCCGAGCTCCGTTTTCGGCTGCAACAGCCTCCTGCAACTCTCCGCCAGGGAAAATGGAGCTCCGTTGTTGCTGGCAGAGGCACCACGGTCTGGTCCTTCACTGTTTCCAGGTCGCCCCGCGGGCCAGATCTCAGCACCCTGCATGCCAGATCCAGTCGGTGGGCCTTCAGTTTGACACCCCTGTTATAGATATCTTTCTCTTTAAAACAAAAACAACAACAACCAAATTGAAACTGACATATTTGAAGTGAATCTAGCTGATAACAAAGATATGGGGAAAGTTTCATAATGTTATCTAAATTACATAATTAAGTTCATCCTTTGCTCTCTTAAAGAGCAGGGGGCATTACCATTCAGGGCATCCTTTTCCCCAGACTTAATTTCATTTATGAATTTTTGAATCGTCCCCCCGCCCCTCCCAAAAAAACCTTCATTTTTTCCCTCTCTGCTTTGATCATCCCTGGAAGAAACATAGCTCACATTTTTGCAGGATGTGATCGTGTCTCTTGTGTGCAACTGTTAATATATTTACAGATATCAGTTATCACATCAGTATTAAGACAGGAGATGTTCCAGGGGCCAGCTCAGATTCGAAGGTTTTGATCAAGCTGTACGGTGAGAAAGCAGACACCAAAAAGGAACTTCTGCTGGTTTCTGATAACGACTTAGGAAATTACTTTGAACGTAGCCGGATAGATATCTTTACTCTGGATACAATGGACATTGGCAAGGTAAGACGGATCTGAAATTACGATGTTGGAAGAAATATCCTTCTGGATTCAGTGCCAAGTGATGAAAAAGACACTGGATTCATGGAAGTTGCTTGGAAAGAAGGTTTATTGATGATGGACAGCACCACATGGCTTCAGATTTCCTGGGTAAAAGGACAGAGATGCTGAGAGTGCCTGGATTTTTATGCCCTCTGTTGGGCTTTAAATTTGAGTTTGCGTTCTGATTGGTTGTCAGACTTCCACGGGGCCATGCAGGGGTATCTTTGTAGGTTGCCTTTTGAGTCCCAGGCTTGGTTGACTCTTGCTGGGTGATGATATAATGAAAGGGGCTTTGGGATTCCTACTATGGTTCTGCCTGAAGGAGGTAGATCTTTGTTATGTAGAATAGATTGGCTCAGGCCTTAATGGCCCATTGAGAAAGGTGGGGGGGAGGTGAGTTTCTGCCCCCCTTTTAGGGGAAATATTCTGTCCTTTTAATAGTTCCTAAAATATCTCATTTTCCTAGGAGAGGGGTGGATGCTAACTTCTTACAATGGTGCAGAGTAAGAACTGACTGCTGGTTTGTTTTACTGAAAATTATTTTTAACAGCGTTTCCCCACCGTCACATTTTTGAAAACCTGCACAGATATAGAGTAGGAGGTATGGTAGCTGGTTCAATAGTAGGATGAACGAATGAAATTCAGTGAAATTCAATGGCGTGAAAAGTATGTTTCTCAATTTAGGCAAGAAAAACCAAATGCACAGGTATAGAATAGGTGGTACCTGGCTCAATTGTAGTAACTGCTAGAGGGATCTTGGATTGGAGGAAACAATCATTTGAATATTAGCCAGCTGTGTGCAGCAGCTGTCAAAAGGGCCAACACAATCCTAAACTGCATTAACAGAGGGATGGAATCAAGATCATGTGAAGTGTTACTACCACTTTATAAGGCCTTGCTAAGGCCACACTTGGAATGCTGCATTCAATTTTGGTCATGTAGGAAGTTATCACCCAGCCCTCTCCCAGAAAAATGAAATATCCTAGGAAAAATTGGAGAGGCAGAATATTTCTCTGGATGTGAAAAGGAAGAAACATGTTTTGAAAGACAGAATAGCTGCCTGTAGCTTCCTGCCCACCCCCACTTTGTCAATG